ATCAAAAGATTCCAATTATCTGTGACAATGAAATTTCTGCTATGGTTTTAGTCAATCTAAATGGGTTAATGTTTAAATACCACAGTGTGTATTGCACCTGTTTCGTGGGTTTTCTAGTCTTGTGCAAGAGGGCGACATTCCATAAATTTAAATGCTTATTAAAGTTTGGTAAGTCTCTCCGTAATCCAACACAGATGCTATTACAACTCAATCATCCAGGAAGGGAAAGGCCAAAAGGTTGATTCTGTTCATCTGGGGGTAGAGTTTTCAATGTCCCACTGAAAACGCTACGTGCAGATGAATATCGTCCAAAACCCAAGACTCCTTCTGATGCCTCTTACATGTCAAACTTGGTACTAGTACACAGTAACACCAGAACTCTCTATGAGGTAGGCATATCATTGTCAAAGTCTATAAGAGATGCCTATTAATGTAAATACAGAGGGTTTACAAGGTGCATACCACTGGTTACACTCAAAAACAGGAAATCTAGATTCGATTTTGCCAGAAAACCTGAAAGAGCCTGCACAGTTGTGGAAAAAACTGATCTCTAAGACATTATCGTTTAGTAAATCTGATTGCTCTAGGGTTGCACCTAAAACTGTCAACATTTTCCTAAGATTTTTAGGATCGAGTAGAATAATCTCAGTTTTGTCTGAATTTCGAAAATATTGACAGGTGTCCCAGCCCTGTAGGTAAATCAGGTAGCAAAATGAAATGTCAGCTCCACCACCAGCAACAGGCTGAGATATCTATCATCTTGTATTTCTCTAATAAGTCATTAACCTTCCCCCCCCCCCCCCCCTTGTGGACACGAGTGTGGTCCTCACCAACATCCCAGGCACCAACACCCCCAACAACCATATATAAAAAAAGGTATTTAAACATTAGGCACTTTGGTTTTACTAAAACCACAGCAGAAATTTAATTGTCGCAGATAATTGGCATCTTTTGATTTGTAAGGTGATGAATAATAAGAGTTTCAGTCAGGTTTCAGAACTCATCTCTGTACAGAAACGGTGTTAGTGAAAGTTACTAATGACCTTTGTATAGCCTGTGACAGTGGACTCATCACTGTGCGTGTCCTGCTAGATACTATTTTGTTAGATACTGCTAGATGTCACGGCTTGCGGGGACAGACCGTGTGTGAGTGAGTGAGGAGATAAAACTGAGTTTAAACGAATAATGAACCTTTATTATGGCTGATGTCATTGAGTCCAAACAAGGCACAAAACACAGTGGCGAAACAGAACTAGAACTAAACTGGGAAACTAATACTGAAATACAACTATGAAAACTCAGAAGACTATGCCGAAGAAAACTAAGACTATAAATACAAAGACTAAGACTGTGACAGCTATGGCTATGAACACATGGGGGGTGGTAACACAGACAACGCGACAGCGAACAAGTGGAAACACAGAAAAAATACACAAGGGATGATCATGGAAAGTGGAAACAGCTGAAACAAATGCACATAATGACGCGACGGGGGAAGTGTACACTAAGCACAGAACATGAAACAAAACCCTTCAAAATAAACCGGAAACATGACAGGATGCCTACATGGCACGAGCTTGACAAACCTGAACAACGCAGATATGAAACATGACAGCTTAAGACATGAACCAACAAGTTATGGAGCTGTTGTTGAGGGACCAGGAGAGGTTCTCTGCAAGGTGGACACCAAGGAATTTCGTGGTCTTGACAACTTCCACAGAGGATCCATTGATGTTCAGTGGACAGTGATCTCTCCGTGCTCTCCTGAAGTCGACAATCATGTCTTTTGTTTTGTCCACGTTCAGAGACAGGTTGTTGACTCTACACCAGTCTGTTAGCTGTTGCAACTCCTCTCTGTATGCTGACTCATCACCACAGTCCTCAGCTCTTGCTGATGAGACAAGCACGGTCGTTTCATCGGCAAACTTGATAATGTGGTTCAAACTGTGCATTTCTGCACAGTCGTGAGTCCAGGATCCAGTTGCAGAGGAAAACTGAATGGGGGAAGAGGTGCTGAGGGATGATTGTGTTGAATGCTGAACTGAAATCTATGATCTGATGAAATTTTATACACAGTCCGACATGCAGTGAAATGCTTATTGTTGTGCAATTCCCAACCAGATACAAGAATAAACTGAAATTAAAAATCAAGTATAACATTAAAGTTAAAAATCAAAAATTAAAAAGGTATGCAAATCAGCAGTGTGCAGATTGACAGTGAATAGTCAAAAATAGTTATTGAGTATATTATTGAAGTAAATTGTTTTATTAAGTGCATGTACAGTGATGTGATATAAGAGAAACCAGATCAGGCGTACATTATTTTGCGATGGTGTATAGACATATTTAGAGTCCAGTCCTACACCTGGTTCAGGGCCAATATAGCCTGGAGGAAGAAGCTCCTCTTCATTCTCTGTGTGTTGCCCTTAAGTGAGTGGAAGTGCTTCCCTGACCTCAACAGTGCGAATACTACCTTGTTGTTATGGGAGAAGTCTTTCATGCACCACTTGGTGTAAATAGACTGCAGGTCAGGAAGCACTGAGCGAATGATGCATTCGGCAGAGTGCACCAATCCTTGGAGAGATCATCTATCTTGCTTGGTGCTGTTCCCATACCAGGTGCAGATATTTCCCGTCAGGATGCTCTGAATGGTGCATGAGTAGAGTTCTTGAGCACCTTCAGAGGTAGGTGGAAGTCTCTGAGTCATCTGAGGAAGAAGAGATGCTGCCGGGCTTTCTTCACCAGAGTGTTAATGTGACAGGATCACGAAAGGTCCCGTGTGATGTAAACACCCAGGTATCTGAAATTGTCTGCTCTCTCCACTGGCACACCACATATAGTGCCTCGTAATTTCTCGCCTGCTTTGTGCTCCTTGGATTTGCTGATGTTTAAGAGAAGGTTATTCTCCAGGCTTTATTGTCCCGGTGGATGAGAGCCCAGATGTAGGGTGGTGGCAATGGTATCATCTGTTGATTGGTGAACTGGAGTGGGTCCAGTGTGGGTGGCAGCAGGGTCTAAATGTGCCTCTAGAAGCACTTCATCATGATGGGTGTCTTGATTGTAGGGCTGTAGGGCGATATGGCCTAAAATCCATACTGCGGTATAATTTGAAGCATGTGCAGTAATGACATATATCGCGATATATTCTTTTCTTCTGTATACATATGTCCAAATGACTGAACAGTATAGCATGCCATTTTAAGAACACTTATTGTGCAAAACCTTTTTTAAAAATTTTTTAATCTTAATCTTTTACATATTAAAAATTACAAAACTTATCAAATATTTTTTAAGATGTAACAGATCTTTTTCCAAACAATGTAACACAAAACTCTTAAATAACAAATAAAAATGAAGATAAATGCACAAAGATTTTTGAATAAAAAAATATCGGTAAAACACAAAATTCTAAACTGTAAAAAATAAAGTGTAAAATGTGCCTTTAGAAAAGGCTTGGAAAAAAATCAGTTTGCTGGTGTGTAGGGCCACCTTTTTTCTTTCCACTTGAATGACTGGGCATTTGTGGAAGGCGCAGTTTTTGGTTTTCCTCATATTCCAAAACGTGTTTCATTTTGAGGTTATAAAACCAATTACTTGTATTCCCTCTCTTCGCTATTACTGTCACCTGGCATAATTTGCTGATGATATTTTTCTGCTCAACTTCTGACAGCTTAAACCCAAACCAGGTCCATATCACCGACGTCGCACTGGTCTTCTTTATGAGCACTCCCTCCTCCTCCCCACCTGTAAGCTCCATGCTAGCTTGCAGCCGCTGCGATGCTTTCGACCAAAACAGGCACAGCTTGATGACCTCATAAACATGCACTATTGCGGTAGAGCGGTATAGTCAAAATCTCTATCTTTGGCCAGATTCATATCGTTTCTACTGTATACTGTTTATACCGCCCAAACCTAGTTGATTACCACATTGTACACAGCTGCCCTGCCAGCCTGCACAGCATTGCCCCTCGAGCCCGCTGCATCACCCCTCCCCTGCAGTGGAGCCAGAGACCACACCTCTGTCTCAAACATCTACAGGGTTTAGCTAGTAAGCTACCAATAATGGTGACTTAATGGTGATTAGCTATGTGAGGAAAGAGTCTACACAGCATTGCCCAGCCCCTCCGCTCCCCAGCTGTAGCCTATCCAAGCTGTCAAAGGGCAAAGGGATGGGTTTCATCCTGGACAGGTTGCCAGTCTGTCTGTGTTAGCCCTGTTACAATCTTTCAAGTTTACATTCATTGTCTCTGAACTGTAGGAAGAAGCTAGGATACAGGAGAGAACTCGCGTAAGCACAGGCAGAACACACAAATTCTACACAGAAAGGTCCAAGATGGCCACCAGATGTGAGTGCATAACCCCCTTGCTATGAGGCAACAGTGGTAACCATTGTACCGTTGTGCTGCCCAGTTAACTACTGGTTAAGGAAACTAAATTAATTAATGAGGTTTTGTAGTTTAAGTTGCTGTATCTCTATAATTTGAACAGAACCATGTTACCACTTTACAATCTGTATGCTAAATTAATTTCACTGTGATTCTAACCCAAGATTTCTATGCATGTGAACATTTAATTTTCTAAAAAAGAAAAAAATATGTTCATAAATCAACTATTAATTTGATTGTTTATTTCAGTTTTGGTTTGAAAAGCTGCAATTGAATATATGTCTTCTCTGTGAAACATACTCTAAAAGTTATTTGACCCCTTTTGCTTCACCAGAGGGCTTATATTCCAGCTCCTTAGGATTTTATAGGCACTACTGGCACTACCAAGGCCTGTATTTATCTGAACACTGATATGAACCACTGGGCAGACAATGATTGTGTAAGGTCAAGGGAATGGAGTGATTAGAGGATATTTGGAATACATTAACAAAGTTCACTCACTGACACCTGCCTTGTCATCATCCATCACTGTTGAACTGGCCTCATCATTAAAGGACTACTCAGGCTTTAAGTGTCTGGGACATAACGTGTGCCCCCCCTTTGTCTGCATCTCAGGTGTGATGAGTGTCGACTCTGCTATCACTTTGGGTGTCTGGACCCTCCACTGAAGAAATCACCCAAGCAGACAGGATATGGCTGGATCTGCCAGGAGTGTGACACATCCTCATCTAAAGTGAGTGTGCATACAGTCTATGTGTATAACTCAGAAAGAAACTTGAGGACTGTTGTTAGTTACAGTTCAGAGGTACTATAACTTCATTTTAACTACTACTTCTTTTTGACTGTAACATAAAAACTCATAAAATAAAACATTTATCTACAAGTAAGTGGCAGTTCTTCCACTAACGTGTGACTTCCATTATAATATTCTTAAATGATTTCCTTTAAATCACTGCCCCAGTTAAAAAATTCACATCAAACTAAATAATTCCAAAAAACAAAACCCAAAATGTGCTTTTACTTTGACATTTTAAATACAAAGTAAAAGTGTTTGTAAGCTGGTGAATACTAGTTTATCAATGTTATTTTTAAATTGTTGTTTAGACTTTCTGTTTATGTTTTTAAGAACCAATACATAAATTACTCAATGATTCACATTTCATATTCTAGCACATTCAGCCAGTGTAGCAGGGTGTTATGGCTGTAGCTCAGGCGGTAAAGCAGCTCACCTGCTAATCGGAAGGTTTGGTTTTTGTTCACCGTATGATCCAGTCTGCATGCCAAATTTCCTGGGGCAAGAAATTGTTGCTCTCCGATGCATCCATCAGAGTATGAATGTGTGTATATATACACACATTCACAGAAATAAGTGCTCGTGTGAATTGGTGAATGAGGCAAGTTGTGTAAAGCACTTTGAATGCTCAGAATAGAAAAGTGCTATATAAGAACCAGTCCATTTATCGTTATTATTTAGCAGGGCAATCAACCTAGGTGGTGAAGTGGGTTGTCCAAAGTCACAGTACCCACCGAAATCCAGATTTTTCCTGAATGAGTAGGATGGCAAAGAAATTTGCTGAAGTGTTATGATTAAAAATGCTGACAGGTTGCAATTAAATGGATATAGAAAGCAGTGAATATAGTTTGAATCCGTGCTGTTGTTGATGCTTTTTGTAGTAACATTATTAAATATTGTTATTATATTAATTCTGCTGTTGCTCTTGACGAAGGCGGTCACACTTTTCTCCTCTCCTCCTCCTCCTCTCCCTTAGCTTCCCTGCTTAGCTTCTTATGTCCTTGTCTAGTCTTGTGTTTTTTGTATTACTTTTCCCTGGAACATTCTCTCACAGTCTGTTCTCTAAAACCTAAAAGAGGAATTATGGATTTGATCAACTGGTCCCTAAATGCAATTGACACCCCTTTCTCAACGAGAAGTTTGGGCTCGGGTGAGCCTGAGTGCTGAAGATATCTACTTATTCGGAACCATGGTAACAGGGTTCTGGCTGATCGGAGCTGGCTTGGCCCTGACTTATCGAAGAATTAAGAAAGCAGAACTGGCTGTTCAAACCCCCACAAGGCTGCCCGCTGGGATTGAAATGATGGGAAGAGGCGTGAGTTTCTCAAAATGGGCTCATTGAGTGCAGCACGGATAAGATCTTGGAAAGGCTACGGCTGCTGTGAATACTCAGAATAAGATCTCTGACTGCAGACTGGATTACATC